TGGTTTTGAAGATCTCTCGATACTGGAAACTTGAGGTAGCTCTCATGGATCTCACATCACGACTGAAGTTCATGTACCATCTAGTATTTATCTGCAATACATGATTTTTATGTTGTCTTTTTCTTTTTGCAGATAGCACGCTATATAAAATGTCATAGATAGTTCGTAATATAAATTTGAATGACGATTTGAAGAAAGTATTAGAAGGTGTTGAACACATTTATCGAATTCAAGAAATGTTACCTACTGCATATATGGAACTTTATAGATAAATACAAGTTTATTCGTTGTTTTGTTTTCGTTGTTTTTATTTCATTATTTGAGTATTTTGTATAGCTGCATTTATTGTTATTGTACAAATACTTCATCAGAAAACTTTTCATCAGGAACAAGAATAAAATCACTAAAAACATTTGATGAGAATAATCGATATGATGGACGCAAAGTTGTTGGTAAAGAATTATATACCAAATTGAAAAATCATTTAAAAACTTATTTGAAAGGAATTTGTAAAGCAAAATTATTTATTTAAGAGAATAATTAATATCAATTAAATTATAAGATTATAAGGAGTTTTAAGTTAAATGTCTGTAAACGTGAGAGTTTATGTTTTTTTTTCTTTGATGAATAATAATTTGTTTCTAAAATAGAATCATCTTCATCAGCATTATCTTGTCATGTAAAAGAGAATTGAAAGAAAATATTCTGGATTTTTGCGTAAACTATTATATAAATAGGAAAAGTCATACATCTAAGGACAAGAAGATCGCAAGTATTCAACAAGTACAATTTATATATATATATATACTTGTGGTGTAGTATTTTCTTTTAAAATTCCGATGGAGACAAATTCCTAACGACGTAATGTTTTGAAAAATAGATTTATACTTTTCTTTTTACTTGATATGAAATGATTAATAGTACATTATAAAAAATGATATTGCACAGGAAAAAGCCTGCCTTGATTTCATGCAATTTAAAGTGTTGAAATGATTGTTTTCTTTTCATCCACAAATTAATTTTTTTTTGCTTCAGGATTCTCTACTTTCTACGATGTACAAGCTTTTGTCCTGCAGAAAACCAAAACAAATATATAATTAATAGACTTTTATGAAGATTTTTTCGAGACTATCTATATTATACAAGGTATTATGCAAATAGCTAGTACTATTTTGAGTTCAATCCGATGAGAAATATAATTATATCAAATACTCATAGAAAACAATTTAAAAGGCTTAGTTAATTATTATTACAGTTTGGCGGTCATAACGAATTCTATCTATATTAGGAGAGAAACTTCATATAACTTTCGAATGTTCATGCAATGATAAAATTCTTTATTCTTTCTTTTATCGATATTATTGGTTTATATAGAACTATAAAATTACATTAGAGTGATCATAAAGTAAATTGTAACTTCAGTTAATAATAACAACTATTCATTACTCTTAGTTATATGATTTCAACAGTGGTCGGGTGATATTTCTAAATTTAAACTTTTTTTTGTTATTTCAAGTTTATATAGCACCCACAAATATACTTCCAAGATGTCATGCAAAGTTGATAAGGTTTCTTATCATTTCATTATATTACTTCAAGTAAATAGTTTCACTCTGAAATTTTATTTATTCAAGATCTTATAACATTAAACTTTTATAAAACTACTAGAAAAAACAAATAATTTAGTCTAATGATGAAATACGTTTAAAAATAAACATAGTGGAAAATTCATTAGTCGATTTCAAGATTCCAAATTTGACTTATGTTATTTGAGAAGTATTGGCTTGTTAAGAAATTTTTGTCGTTTTTTTTGCTAAATTTATTTTTATTTTTTCAATACAAAGAATACAACTAGCTTTTAGCGATATATGCTCCATCACTATCTATGACTTGTCGCCAACGCTCTGGTAGAGAAAGGATCCCACTTTCGTAAAAGTCCTGCGACTTTTGGTCAAAGAAGTCGAGAAGTCCCATTTCTAGATCGTATTCGTCGTCGAACTTTTTCTCCTTCAGATAGTTAGAAAGAGAACGGAACAAGTGGTAGTCTGTAGGAGCCAAGTCTGGAGAATAAGGTGGATGTGGAACCGTAATCCATCCAAGCTCCAGTAATTTTTCACGAGTTAATTTTGCAACATGAGGTCTGGCATTGTCATGCAAAAAATAAATTTTATCCTGTTTTCCCTGAAGTTTGGCTGCAACTCGGTCTAATTGCTGGCAATAGAAGTCAGCAGTGATAGTGCGATTAGGTGGAAGAAGTTCCCAGTGAATAATTCCTCTTACTCCCCACCAAACGCTCAGCATAATCTTCTTTTGGTTAGAGTCATGTTTGGGCGTTGCTACACCTTTTTGTCCAGCTGCCAGCCACTGCCGCTTACGTGTATGGTTAACATATAACACCCACTTTTCATCGCCAGTAATAAGATTATTAAGCCATCGGTAGTTGCCGTGAGATGTCATTAATTCCATACAAGCATCAACTCTGCGTTGGAGCTGATGCGGTGACAAATCATGTGGTATCCAAACTCCATATTTGCACGTTTTGCCTAATTCGTGCAGATGTGTTGCCACTGTAACATGAGAGCACCCAAGGTGCTCTGCTAAACAACGTGTAGTTAATCTAGGATCATCTTCGATAAGTTCCTTTAAGCGATCGATATCCACCTCGAGTGGTCTTCCAGTATGAGGTAAATCATCGAGTTCAAAGTTACCGTTGTTGAACTGATTGAACCAACGTTGCGTTGTACGAATGGAGAGTGCATTCGTTCCCATCGTATGGCATATGTTACTTGTTGCTTCTCCTGTTTTGTGACCCAGACGAAATTCGTGAAGCAAAAGAAGTCGAAGCTCTCTACGAGATATATGCAATTCTAGTTCGCTATCAGCGTGTTTATCCATAGTTTTATTGTGGTTCGAGAGATATTTACACCGCCTTTATATACCCTTAATATGGAAATTTCCAGAACTTTCTGAACTGTTCTGGGAAAATACGAAAAAAACGACAAAAATTTCTTAACAAGCCAATACTTAGAGAGAAAAAATGATTTTAAGTATATTTCTCTTTTCCGAGATTTCTAGAGACTGTCTCCTTAGAACAAATTTGAAATTTTCACAGTGAGTAGATCTTGATGAATCGAACAAAAGCTATCATAGACTTAAAATGCTCGAATGCTGTCTTCTACGAGATACTAGGATCACAATCGCCAAACATTGTCCCAAATTTTCGCCCTCGTCTCTCTCGAAGATACTACCTTCGATCGAGTTGAAAATTTTCCTGCAAATATTAGACACTGGTTTGGGTATGCGTTTTGTTTTTGGGTTTCATTTTATTATTTAGCCTTCGAATAAGAAAGTCAAAATATCGAAAATACCAATAAAAACTGTTGAAGGACTCGTTTTGATAAAAATGCAAAACAATGCATAGTTTTCACTATTTTCGTTATACAGTGGGAGCCAACTGAAATTCTTCCTTTTGTTTTTTTTTGTTTTTGTCACTGTACTTCTTTTATTTTTTAATCTACTATTGTTATGTTCGAAGTGTTCCCCTTCGAACATAAGACGGAACGAAACGAATAACACACGCTCCTTTCTAGTATAGTGGTAGTACAGCTGCCCGGAAAGCAGAAGACGTTGGTTCGATCCCATCGGAAGGAGATTATTCTTTTGTTCCGTTCTGTTGTCATACCATCACGTTGCTATCTCGGTGATAACAAAGAAAGAAAAAGAGACGACATAACAACTATATATAGCGAGAAAGTTCGAAACGCGCTGCATCTTTTGGTATATTTACCTTAAGTATCAAATACAGTTTGAAGTATCAAACATGTATTAGAAGAAAAAGTGACATTTCCCTTTTACTACAATGTGCAGTAGGAATTAAATGAATAGCGTCCACTTGTCTCTTTTTATGACAAACAATATTAATTCGCGCAGTGCTGATGACTTACAACTTATATTTAGACAGTACTCTTTTTATAAAAATATTCGAATAAACAGGCTGACTAAGATTAAGCATTTTTTTGTCTATGTAAAGTTTGAAGCTATTCAGTTACAAATGAAATCATATCATCTACCATGTCATGCTGACACATACGTGATAATGTGAATTCCATGTTCTTTTCCCTCTTTTTTCCCCTTCTATGTGCTTCTCATATATGCACATATATACATTACGACTGACTGAAATTAATTTACAAAATCAATTCTTAATTCGTTATATTTTAAATTGTTGTTTATTGCGCATTTTGATTTTAATTTCTATTGCCTCTGTTTATTATGACTCGTAAATATAATACATACACATCTCAATTCAAGCACAACATGCTTGAAGAATAGCGTCCTGAAATTTTCGGTTATGGGTTTAACCCTTTGAGTCCGGGATTATTTTTGTATGGTAAAAACGACGGAGGACGGCTGACAGGTAAATCGGTCCTATAAAATTTTTTTGATTCGAAACCCCAACTATGTTATACCAAACGAAAGAGCTCGGTGAGTTGAGCATTTTTTGTGACAGAACTTGGTCTTTTAAATGAAATTATGTAGAGTTCTGAGTAAGCTAACTTGTAAAATTTTAGTCATTTTAGTCGTTGTCACGCTCAGAACTCTTCATGATTTCATTTAAAAGATCAAGTTTCGTCACAAAAAGTGCTCAACTCACCGAACTCTTTCGTTTGGTATAACATAGTTGGAGTTTCGAATCAAAAATTTTTATAGAGCCGATTTACCTGTCAGCCCTTCCCCGTCGTTTTTACTATATAAAAATAATCCCGTACTCAAAGAATTAAGAGACAACCAATAATCATCAGTAAGTATAGACAATCTTAACGCACAAATATTCTAAACATAAATCTCCATACAATTCATATCATTAAATAATCAACAAACTGTGTTTTTTAAAGTTATTCAGACTCCGAAACCTCAGGACACGAATTCGCGTCACCCGGACTCAAAGGGTTAAATCATTAGCTAAACGTTTTAAAATTAAAAGTGGTGACAAATTTATTATGAATTGGTATCGTCAATGGGATGGTACTGTCGATTCATTAAATCAAGAATCAAAAGGTGGTCGAGCTCGTATAATGACACAACATGAAGTTAAAGTTTACATTTTAGAATTTGTCAAATCAATGAATAATAAACGTGTATATGTTGATTATAAGAAGGTTCATGCACATATGAAATTTGTATTAAAACGAGAGGTATCAATACGTACTCTCCGACGATATGGTAAAGAAAGTGGTATAAAATGGAAAAAAAAACTCGTGAGATAACATTACGGGACGGTTAGTACATATTCAGTTAATAATTTAATTACCTCAATCATGTCTGTTCCATGTGTTTCTAGCTGATGAGATTTTTTGGTACAATATTGGTCAATTTCGAAGATCATTACAACGAATTGCTAATGATCGATTAATATTTATTGATGAAACAGCTGTTTATTCTATTATGATCCCTCGTAAAACTCTTGTTGCTCCTGGTCAACAATCATTAATTCTAGTTACACAGCCTTCAGCATATGCCAAACGATATGATTTTATTGGTGCTATTTATGGATCTCAATCAATTGCTTGTATGATACTGACTCCTGAAGATCGTAATTATCGGAAAATTAAAGGTGTCAGACAAGCGGTAATAAATCAATGGATTACTGATACATTAGCGCCAGCAATCAATCGATTTTATATCGACAATATTTATTTGATTTGTGATCAAAGTCATGCTCATAAGAAAGTGGATATGGGTGTGGGTGAAGAGAAGATCAACATTCATACCTCAACCCCACACCGACACCCACCCACATCCACACCCACACGCTCACACTGATACCTATACCCACCCATATCCACACCCACACGCCAACCCTACACCCACAACCACACCTAGATCCACATGCCAACGCCGCACCCATACCCCATAAGAATAAAACAAAAATAGTTTTTTTTCCTTTTCGCCTAATGTGAAAGGCTTCCTTACTTTATTCATGTAAGTACGAGAAAAACTTCTTTCATTGAAATGCTCATTTATTTTTACTACATGTGTGCAACATAAATGTTGTTATTTATGTTTATGGGAAGAATTTAGAAATTAATGTAATTGTTTTTAGAGCAATATATTTAAAGGTTAACATCTTATAGAGGTTGTTATATGATGAGAAAAGAGTTGACTTTTTTTTTATATATGCAATTTAACTATTCACATATATATATATATATAGTAGTGTAATCGACGTTTCGAAGAGTTAAATCTTCATTATCAAGATACGTGTAGAGTGTAAACTGCAATGATTAAGATTAAGCTAGATAATGTATATCATATGGATGACAAAGAGTGTTTTGTTTTTGTTCATCTGTGACGAATGAGATTTAGTTACAGACGAACAAAAACAGAACACTCTTTGTCATCTATATCATATATATTATCTAGCTTAATCTTAATCATTGTAGTTTACACTCTACACATATCTTGCTAATGAAGATTTAACTCTTCGAAACGTCGATTACACTGCTATATATATGAGTGAATTGCAACTTTTTGGTACGATTGACGAGAAAAAATGAAAGTGAACCTAAACAACTTTTGAGTAGTGCATCTTATTAGGCTCTATGCCTGTAGTATACAGCAAAAGTTTCCGAACACTTTACCGCATATTACCTGAGATACAACTTACTTCAACGTAAATGTACTATAAAAAAACGTTATTTTCATGAAAAGTATCATTTTAGAGTTCATTATGTAATGTAAATATCTTGAGAACGGTAAGAGATAGAAAGCTGATTTTTTTATCGCTTATATAAGTCTGAGAAATATATCTACAGTAAAAATTTGAGCGAAAACAAACAAGCCTTTCACGAGTTATACACAAAGTAATTTTCAAAAAACGTCACTCTACATTTTTCAGTATAATGTAAATTTCTCCTGAACGGTACAAGATCCAAGGCTGAATTTTTTACCACTAGTAGAACTTTTTGTTTTGTACTTTCTGTAAAAATTTGAGTGAAATCGAACGAGCCGTTGAGGAGTTATAAAGATGACAATTTTCAAATCGTCACTCTACAAAGTGAGTATACAGACCCTTTTTTTCAGAAAGTCTTGCTATTTTTTTCCTGAAATAAATCTGATAAGAGAGAACATTTTCTCATCAGTTTGGTAGTTGAAGAGTTCTCTTTCTTTTGATATAGTCTGCGCGCTACCAGCTCTATCACAGAGTGAGCTAGAATCATGTTTTCGTCACTCTACACAAAAATGTACAAGTGTCTGTCAAACAATATTAATGGTGGACGAAAGAAGAAATGAAAAATAAGATTAAAATCACTTATATATTTGGATAGAACGTCGAACGCTCTACAAAATGGACTAACTATCTCCTTTTCCTCTTGCGTTTTTATAGCCAAAAATTTCGTTTTCTTAGTACCGATCATGACAAAGCTGACATTTTTTTGTAATAAATTTCTTATAACTCAGTGATAATATGAGCTAGAGAGCTGAAATTTTGTATAGCAGTGGGGAGCCTAAAGGAGTATAACATATAAAAAAATTGTTTAAATCGGTTGAGATAAACAGAAGTTATTAGCGAAATACAGCTGAACCATCAATTGTACCAAAAAGTTGCAATTCACTCATATATATATATATATATATATATATGTAAATAGTTAAATTGTATATATATATAAAAAGTCAACTCTTTTCTCATCATATAACAATCCCTATAAAACGTTAACCTTTAAATATGCTGCTGTAAAAATAATCATATTAATTTCTAAATTATTGCCCATAAACACAAATAACAACATTTTTGTTGCACATATGTACTTTGTAAAAATAAATGAGCATTTCACTGAAAGAAGTTTTTCTCGTTCTTACATGAATAAAGTAAGGAAGCCTTTCACATTAGACGAAAAGGAAAAAAAATAGTTTTGTTTTATTCTTATATTTGTTTTTATGCAAATAGTTGAGTATTACCTTTGCAAGCAATTTTTCTCCGCTCTACCTACTTCATTTTAATTTTATAAAGAAATCAGTCCTTGGTGTTTTTTTTTCTAGAAAGATCGAAGTTCCACTATGACAATAAAAAGATTGTTAATAAGCATTTTTATTTGGTTGTTGTAAGTATACTATATTTTAAGCGTCAATCAATAGGCATTCTCCTTACGAACTTATTGTCTCTTTTCAAAACAGACTAATACTCACGACTAAAATGCAACCAAATGAAATGGTTCCTTGTCTGTCATCATCATCATCCTGTGGTAATGGTACTAGTACCAAGCCATCATGTTCTTCAAATTTAAACTGCGATTGTTTTCCTCTTGCGGTCTATAGTAATAGTTCTACAAAAGCAATCTGTGCCTATATTCTTCCGTGTGATGCTGTTGTTCCATGTAATTCATCAAATAAGTTTGCTTGTTCAACTGTACCAAATACCGTGTGTGTTAATGGTACGCGGTGTCAACAACCAGTGTGTTATCCATTAGCATTGACCAATGCAAAAATATGTCCGCCAGCCGTATCAACAAAAACTTCAACTACTACCATAGCAACAATAATTAGATCTAGTAAGTTCAAAGATCGTATGAAAAAAGATCAAGATATTTTCCTAAGATAAATACGAAACTTTTAAAAGTTTCTATTTTTAGCTACATTACTACCAACAACAAAAATAACAACGAAGATAACAACATACCGGAGTACAACAACTCCAAGCACTACTTTCAAGCGTATGTATTATTGAAATTTTGCTTGCTCTTTTAGCAGAGGTGTCGAGTTTAGCTTTATTAATTGCGGCATAGAAAATAGTACATTGAAAAAACCTACAGAAGACTAAATTGATCACATTTTGTTATGTGTCTGCATTTTACAGCATGAATGTAAGTGTAGTATATTTAGCTAAAAAATCGATGCCTATATTAATCGTTTCATATTGAAAAAGAATTGAAAATGTGTTTTAATAGCGATCCTATATCCCTACTATTCAATTTTGAATTTCAATATAAGCCATTATAATCTGAAACAGATTTGTGTCGACTGCATAACATGCAAAATCGCATATTCGACTGGATACTGATATTGTGTCGCATAGCTTTCTCTTAATTCAAATTAGATTCGAGTTGTTCTAGTATAGACTATAGGGAAAAAGTTTACAAAAGTATCAGCTTAATTTCACAAATTATAGTGGACACGCAAACTTTATTCTTCTTATCTGTTTATTTAGTGTCAACAACAACATCAATTTCAAAGCAAAATATACTTTGTTCATCAGCTATGTGGAGTCCAAATGGAATTACAGTTGCTGGTATCGGCAATGGTAATTTGGGTTTTGCCATGAATCAGTTAAACTATCCACGAGACATAGCTATTGATAGTCATCAAAATTTAATTATATCGGATTCTGGGAATTCACGTATACAGAAATATTTTACAAGCAATGGTACAATTATTACATTATTGAGCAATGTAGGAGTATATAACGTATTTATAGATCAGTATGACAATATTTACTATAGTGGCTGGAGCAATGTACAGAAATTGAGTAGCCGTGGTTTGATAGTAACAACAACAACAGTAGCTGGAGATAGTCGTGGAAAAGGTGGTAATGGAACGAATCAACTTAATAATCCTCACGGTCTTTATATTGATCGATTTGGAACTGTATATGTATCAGATAGTGAGAATCATCGTGTAATGAAATGGCTTGTAAATGCAAGTGAAGGTATTGTAGTTGCTGGTGGTAATGGAAATGGAAGTGCATCAAATCAACTCAGCTATCCTAAAGGCATATTTGTTGATGAAGTAAATGAAGTTGGTGCAATTTATATTTGTGATTTCATGAATATGAGAATACAGAAATGGTTACCAGATGCACGATTAGGTGTGACTGTCGCTGGTGGTAATGGAATGGGTGATGGGTTAAATCAATTGTTTCATCCGGAATCAATTATACTGGATCCAATTACAAGAATCATGTATCTGGCAGAATATAATAATAATCGTATAGTCAAATGGTTGCCAAACGCACAGCAAGGACAAATAATTGCCGGTGGAAATGGTCAAGGTCCAGGAGTAAATCAATTTCTTCGTCCATGGGGAATAAAATTTGATTCATCAAATTGGAATTTATTTGTAACAGACTGGGCTAACAGCAGAATTCAAAAGTTTCTATTTAATGTATCATCTTGCTAAATTATTAGACATATCAATTCCGGCAACGATTTGATCTTTGACATAAATTATTCTATTTTAAATCATTCGTTTAATCATGCGCTTAATACTTTAATCAAAGCAATGTCTTATTTTAATGCATGTCATATCCTATAAAAACTATTCGATGCAACCATCGAAGTCTCATTTTCTGGCGCAAAGCAAAAACGAACTAGGGTGTGGGTGTGTAGGTGTGGGATGTGGGTGTGGGTGGGTGGTGTGGGTGTGGGTCTTCTGTTCGTCTACAACGACACCCACACCCTTTTGTTTACATTTTTAGCCTCTTGCATGAATCATTGAATTAATGTACTGCGTGATTGATTTTTTTGATCACTATCACGATCCCGCTCACGAAGAAACAAGGCTTCTAAATCACGATCACGATCACGAATTTTTATTTCGCTAAAATTCACGAACACGATCACGATGTATAGAGTATGCATATGCAGAGCAGCCGGATGAGAAAAAACTTGATTTCGCACACTTGTACTCATGAAGTCTTATGAAATCCAGCGAAGTCTGTTTAAGCCTTATCAAGTCTCAACAAGTCAAATCAAGTTTCTTGAACTGCCATTAATGAACATGTGTGAGATCAAAAGAAAAAACTTACCGGGACTGGGACGAACAAAACTTGATTTCAGACATGTCTAATCTAGAGACAAAAATAACTGTTTGTCGTCTTGTCTTGTCCTCTACGGAACATACTCCATTCGATATAGTGGAAAAGAATATAAACGCAGAAAATTCATCGTTTTCATTTATTTGCACATATTGTGAGTGGTTTGAAGATATTAGAATTGTTGGTGTATGTGTAAGTATTTTTGAAATGTCTAATTCTGATCTCCCTCAGAGGGTGTGGGTGTTATACATATATTATTTCGACAACTTATGTACATTGTTTGTTACTTTTGCTATATAAAGCATATGAATTGCGAGACTTTTTTTTCTAATTTAAATGGGAAGCATTACATTTCCGACAAAATGGGATGAAATTTTGAACGTTCATATTATCATCGTGATTTTTGGAGTCCTTTTTTCAATCACGATCACGCGTGATCGTGATTCGTGATTGACGCAGTACACTAATCAATTGTACAGACAAACTAGGTCCAAATGTTCATTAATAAAACATTTGCGTCTCATGTACTGTAGGTCTTTTCTTTGTTGATTTTAATTAGACAATTTTCAGAATATTTTGAGATTATTTTTTGTTTCAATTCGAATAAAAATATGACCTTTTTGATTATTGGTTTTATTCAATGTTATTTAGAAAAGTAGTTATGGAAATATATATTGATCATTTTTCTAATAGTGGATCTTTCGATATTATCATATTCGACATAACTTTTACGCTATCTTCACAATTTTATGCATTTATTTCGACCTTTTCTTCTGGATGTCCATCTTGTTTTTTTGTTCTCAAAAATTGGAAAAAAAGGATTTTTTTGTTCGATGTGGTAATTAAACACGACATTTTCTATCAAATATACGAGAATATCGAGATAGTAAACGTCATTTCTGCATTCTTTTTTTTATTAAAACATTCAGGGATACTTATTTATTGAACTTTATTGCATCGAATTTTTTATGTTCTCATTTAATACATTTTTTTAGTTAATTTACCTTATGATAAACTGTTATTGTCGTTATTATCATCAACCAATTCACTTTTTCTTTCAATTTTATATAAACTACTGTCGTGATATCATTCTTCTTTGCCAAGAAAGTTGATCTATCACAGCTCATATAATGTAATATTTATACAATGTGCATTTCTTTTATCTAGAAAACTCTTTTTATTCTAGGCAATCAAGTAGATGTTGAAACTCAAATGACATCGATCAAACGAATACTTGAATATTGTTTACTTGATCAGGAACTATCTGCTCAACTACCAACCAAATCGATGATCTTGACATAGCAACTCTTGTATTAGATGATGTTAGACGTCATATTTCAATTATTTTACAAGATTCTGTTCTTTTTACTAGTACCATGTGATGTAATCTGGATCATTTTGATCTTTATTTAGATATCAAAATATGGAATGCACTTGAAATTAGTAACGGATATGATGTGAGTTACTTATGTTATCCTCCTCCTCTTCAAGCACATCGATACACATACTAACATTTAGACAACCCCATTCTAATTACTTAATACATGTTAATTACAATAAATGATCAGGTTGATAATACAAAAAAAAAGAATGTTCGTTTTATCGATGACTACGATCAACAACTCATTGCTAAACATAACTCGCCATACTACTTTTTTTTTCTTTCTTTTCATTGACATCGGTTGTAATAGCGCCGAAATACGATCCGTTCCAACAAATTACACATCAATGTAAACCATCACTGCGACGCAGTATGTCAAAATGAATAATATGAAATTGATTCAAGATTTTATGACAAGAAACAAATTGTTTCGATATTGATGCTCGTTTTTCTTCAAAAAGAAGATAAGATACTAGATTAATCATTTCATAAAGCAACTATTTATTTATTTTAAGTATCGAATTTCCGATAGGTTGAAATAATGTTAAGTGTACAAGAACAATTCTTTTATATTAGCTGTTTTTTTCTCTAGCTAGTACAGTCATTATCGATTTAAAAGATATCATGTGTGACCTTAGCTTAATTATTTACAAGTATATAATTCTGAAATAGTACAATAATAGTCAGTTTTAAAGAAAAGAAGATTTAATTAATAGTAATATGATAATAAGATCCACACTTGCAAATGACGTTTTTGAGCTGACATTTGAGAAATAAAATGAATTCTTAACATTAAAAAGATAGTCAATTATTTTTGATATTATCTTTCAGAATG